CTCAAAACTGGATTATAGATGGCAGACAGTTGGTGTCGTAAACCACCGCCTCTGTTCAAAGATGGTCGCTCACAGTGGACATAGATGGCTTCTTTCACTCCTCTTTCAAACCATCTGTCCTCTCTGTCCAAAATGTGAACATTGGCATCCTCGAAAGAGTGTCCTTTATCCTTAAGATACTTATAACATTGCAAAACACCTTGCTACCATCCTTACTCCTCTCGTGGGGAACACCCCACACCACATCAAGAACTCCACCGACTTCACTGACAAGGTCCAGAAACTTACCCTGGATCCAGATGAAACCATGGTGTCCTTTGATGTAGTCTCTCTCTTCACCTGCATACCCACCACGGAGGCCGTGGAGACGGTCAGAAAACGACTACAAGAAGACAGCTCCTTGGAAGACAGGACCAACTTCACACCCGATCAGATCTGCACACTGTTAGACCTCTGCCTCACCACTACATACTTCAAATACAACGAAGGCTTCTACAGACAAAAACATGGCTGTGCCATGGGCTCCTCCGTGTCACCTATTGTAGCCAACCTTTACATGGAGGAAGTGGAAAGGAAGGCTCTTGGCTCTTTCAAAGGGAGAGTACCCAGCCACTGGTACAGATATGTGGACGACACCTGGGTCAAAATCAGGACACAAGAAGTGGAATCCTTCACTGCACACATTAACTCTGTGGATAAAAACATCAAGTTCACCAGGGAAGACACAAAAAACAACTGTTTGCCTTTCCTGGACTGCGCTGTGCACATTGAAGAGAACGGCAAACTCAACATCGAAGTTTACCGGAAGCCCACACACACGGACCAGTACCTCCTCTTTGACTCCCATCACCCTTTGGAACACAAACTTGGAGTAATTAGGACCCTACACCACCGGGCAGAACATGTTCCCTCTAAGCCTGAAGGGAAAAAGAAGGAACACACACATGTAAAGGAAGCACTCAAAACGTGCGGCTATCCTAAATGGGCGTTCTTAAAGTCAGCAAAGAGGCACAGAAAAGAAGACCAGACACCAGCGAGGGAGGATAAGAAGGACAGACGCAACAACATTGTCATCCCCTATGTAGCCGGTGTATCAGAGAAACTCAGGAGAGTTTTCTCCAAGCATGACATCCCGGTGCATTTCAGACCCAGCAACACACTCAAACAGAAACTGGTTCACCCGAAAGACAAAACTCCAAAACACAGACTTAGCAGTCCATCTGCATCTTAAGGATAAAGGACACTCTTTCGAGGATGCCAATGTTCACATTTTGGACAGAGAGGACAGATGGTTTGAAAGAGGAGTGAAAGAAGCCATCTATGTCCACTGTGAGCGACCATCTTTGAACAGATGGTCGGCGTACATTTCCCCATACACGGAACCTGACGGCAGTGGCGATGCTGCAGACGGCGATGCTGCAGGCGGCGATGCTGCAGGCGGGCTCCTCGGGCCCCCCAGCAGACGAGGCATAATGCTGGACGGGCGACTCGGGCCCTCCAGCTGACGAGACTTGAGGCTGGCTGGGTTCTCCCAACCCCCCAGCTGACGTGGCTTGAGACTGGACGAGCTCCTCGAGCCCTCCAGTGGAGACAGACACTGAAGCAGCAGGTACAGAGACCTCTGAGCAGCACAGTGGCTTGACTCAGGCAGCAACAGTGGGATGCAGTCCTCGGAGGGCAGAAAGTGTTCCCCAATACACTCAGCAGAGGATGGAGGCGGACGGGTGAACTCACTTGAACTCTCAGGGGGTGCTGAGAGCCGAGACTGTTCTGGTGAGTTCTCCGGTGGAGCTGCTGGTGCTGGCGTCTTGACCTCTAGGGGTCCAGACTTGGCTGGTGACTGACACCCAGCCTCCCCAGAGGCTGGGTGTCAGATGGCCAGCTTAAGAGATCCACCAGGTACAGTGGTGAAGTGTGTTCCCTATTCGTAATGAGACGGTGAGGATGGTGACTGAATGAATGAGTGGGTAGGCTGCTGAACTAGTGGCAACTGAGCTACAGGTAGCGATGGTAGCGGAGGTGTAAGAGGTGGTGGAGTGGCTGACCGAACTGCGGGCAGCTGGGCTGCTGACTGAACTGCTAACCGTGTTACAGACCCAACGTTAGACTGTGGTGAAAGTGTGGATGGGAGAACATGGTCAGGAAGAACTGTTTCAGTGAGGTTTACAGCTTCCCCTGAATAGAACAGTGCAGGTGAAAAAGAGTCCCAAACATTTCCATTCTCTAAGTTCATAATGCCAGGCTCAGTAACTCCATGCTTGGCAACAACAAAGTGGAAACAGTCATTAACACAGAGCGTGGGCTCAGGAAAGACAGTCTTTGAAGCAATAGCCATAGATGAAACAGAAAAACCACTAATATCTTCGGTGGAAATGCAAAAAATAGCCCCAGAATAAATAGTCCTTGTATCAGACAAAGCAGAAACAGTGTCCCTCTCACTCACCACTGCCGGTTGTTTACATGTCCCGACATCCGGCTGTGCGAACGACGTCGCGAACGTTGCTTTTTTCTCGGAGACGGCTCTGACGGGCCGGGTAATTCCTCGTCCGGCGGTTCGGACGGCATGTCCTCCGTTGAAGCGAGCGGGCGAGCGGTAGCGGCCGGGGGGTGAAGGTGAAGCTTGTGGAGAACGAAATTCTGAGTCCAATAGCCAGGGATAACCGGCAATAAGGTGTTGTAGGTTGGCTTCCACAGTGTAAAGAAACGCTTCTCCCTCATGCTCTAACCACAGGTTGATTAATTTTGAAGCAATCGATAACGACCTCCTGAAGCTCCCTGGGTGGGCTGAATGCCGCTGGATCCATATCTGGCTGGACCGTACTGTCACGGCGAGTGAGATGAGCCGTGTGGAAGTAATAAAGGAGGATCCAAATGCAGGCACTTGTAAAGGTGTGAAGGTGGTTTATTAAACACAAAATAAAAATGGACAAATGGCAAACGGAGGAAGGACTAAACTATACTGGGAACAAACTAACTACTGGACACGAACCTGAACAAGAATGAGAGCGAGCAGAGGCAGACGACAGTTGACAGCAGGGAAAACACACGAGTGAGACATGGTGGATACACAGACAAACCAGCAACTACAATGACAGAAGACACGACTTAAATACACACAGAGAAACACAGGAAATTACACACAGGTGGTGGACACAGCTGGGAGTAATTAACGAGACGAGACAAGGGAGGTAAACTGAACACACTCACATGAGACGCAGACCTTCACAATAAAACAGGAAACAAGAAAACACTGCACAAAGACGCAGACACGACACTGAGACAGACTAGACACTGAACTAAACCTGAAATAAACATGAGAACACAAAACCTACGAACTAATCCCTAAACAAGAATAACTGAAACATAGTGAGAGACTGAGATTACCGAAAAGCACCACTGAACGACACAGGAAATCATTCCTGCCTGTGGCCATCTCCCTGTACAACGCATCCACTTAACACACTGTTTGCTGCTACAACTACACATGTTTCTTTTCCAAATATTTATTTATAAGTGACTTATGTATGTATGTATGTATATATATGTATATATTGTACTATTCTTAGTTAGCGTATTGTCTGTCTTGTCTTAATGTTGGTTTAAAATGGAGCACTGTAACAAAAAATAATTTCCCCCAGGGATCAATAAAGTATTCTGATTCTGATTAGATTCATAATCATCATCATAAGAAAAGAATACAAAATGCAAAAACACACGTACCGGTATCCGGTGCCATTATGGCACCGGATACCGGTACCCATTGCTACTTAGAGGTGGGTGGATCGATCCAGATATCAATAGTATGGATCGATGCTAGCGCGATAGGATTGATATTTCATTTAATCCTGAAGGTTCAATATGTAGACTGCTGGGCTAAAAACCCTGTTTAAAACTATATGCTTTATTGTAGATTACTAAGTGCTAATAGTAGCTTGCCATCACCAGTGTGTGAATGTGTGTGTGAATGGGTGGATGACTGGATATGTAAAGCGCTTTGGGGTCCTTAGGGACTAGTAAAGCGCTATATAAATACAGGTCATTTACCATTTACCATAATAAACGAATTACTGCGGAAAGTAACACTCATAAATCTTGACACACGGATCAACACTACACAAGCTACCTTTGTAAGTTGAACGTATCAGTATCGGTATTGGTATCAGTAATACTAGTTACTTGGTATTGCACAGCACAAACAGCCAGTTTGACTGGTTATGCTGCAGACCACACATACACACAGACAGGTACTTTTTGCAGATGCACTTTCAGCAATTAATTTTCATATTGTAGCTGTTTGTTTATTTCTATCAGCACACCTGGTGACGCAGAACCTAAAGTGGGAGGCAGCAAAGTCTCCCACTGTCCTTTTGAGCGGGTTATCAGTCACTGTGTGATGCACAGTGTTGCTCAGTCACCCCTCCAAGTCCAGGACAGATAACACCAACTCTGAGGCACAGGTAGTTACACGCTCACCCCGCTGTTTAACAACAACAATATTAATAAAGATAGAGTAATGGCGATAAGGAGCTCTGAAACCTGACCTACATACAAACACATAAACTCAGTGAAGGTGACGATGTGTTAATCCACTCTCCCTCTCTCCGTGATTCACACACAGACCATGATGACGGTGACTGGAGGAGCGGAGACTTCTGACGTCAGACGAGGAGAATGACAAGCGCGTCCAATGAGGGGCCGAGGATGTGCAGCGCGAGGACGGAGCAGCCGACAGAAGGCTAATAACCATGCCAACGGAGGAATATAGCGCGCGCCGCTGACTGGGGGAGAAGCGCGCGCGAGAGACAGGGGGAAACCCCGAAAGAAGAAAATACTGAAAACACGTTCACGGGAAGTGGAGAATAAAGGAGGACGGAGAGAGATACGAGAAGCAGAAGCAGAAGAAGAAGACACGGAGCGGGTAAATGTGTGTGTGTTTGTGTGTGTGTGGCGTGGTCTTCATCCATCCCACTTTCTCTCTCCATCCTGCTCTCTCGCTCTCGCGCGCTGGCTCAGGGACTGCACTGCTGCAGCTGAATGAAACCGATGAAGGTATTTAAGCTTTTGTTCTGTCTTTGCTGCACACAGCCTGCCCTCAGTGCTGGAGGCTCGGCAGGGGCGTAAAAACAAAAAACAAAACAAACAAAAAAAAGGCTCGTGAGTGCTGTGTGCTGGGCTCTGGGGCGCATGAGCTCCCCGTTACCGCAGGGATGTGAGACCCCCCTCCTCCTCCCCCTCTCAGCTGCGGGGCTTTTGATGCTGGTGTAGGTGGTGGTGGTGGTGGGGACGGCGGTGACCTTCCCTGGACGTTTCCAGTCATTGACGGTGTGTGCGCGTGCGTGTGCGCGTGCGTGTGGGCGTGCGAGAGGAGGACTGAAGAGGACTGAAGAATAGAGGAGGGGGAGGAGGGGTGAGTGGGGGCGTTGAGGTGGGAGGTGCGAGAGGAGGGGGGAGAGATTTTTTTTTTTATGAATGGAGCTCCACATCTCTCTTTGGCGCACGCGGCTGCGAGTGTGTGTGTGTGTCGCTGTGCGTGCGTGTGCGCGCGCGCTGGCTGCTCTGCTGCTGGGCTAAAATTAGCGTCAGCAGCCGCAAATATGTGGATCAGAATCCGAATTAAGCAGCTTCTAAATGAAAACTGTGGGCGCACGTGCCCGTGTCTGGGCTCGCGCTCACACACGCCACCGGTGAATAGGACGGCAGCCGTGCCCCAGGACGTCATGCACCATTTTTAGAGACGCTCTAAAAATAGACAGAGTCGGTGATGGTTTTGGTTGTCCGGACTCTGTCAGGTAGGAGCGAGCCAGACTCTCGTTATTGTTATTACTGTTGTTGTTGACAGTATTGTTTATTTGGTGTATGTGTTGTTTTGCTTGAAGCCAAAATGGCAGGAAGAGTACTGCCAGTTATGGAAGACTTGTCCTTGTGTGTGTATGTGTGTGTGTGTTCACACCTGCTGATAATTACCTGTCAGCGTGGTGCACGAGCTGCTGATGACGTGCATGCTGGAGGGTAAAAGTGCTCGGTCGTTTTCACGAGTTTCTGAATGGATGAAAAAAAAGTGATTTTCTTATTTGGTCTCTTTTGTGAAACGGGATGGCTGAGCACACATCCCTGCTCCTCCTCCGCCTCCTCTTCCTCCGCCTCCTCCCTGCTTTTCTCGTTTGTTTTGCCCTCCTCTCCCCGTCTCACGTCCTCTTCCACTCTTTTTGCTTTCCTCTCGTCCTCACTTCCACTTCTGAAAACTTCTTCCATCGTGTTTTTAACTCATCTCTCTGCTTCCATCTTTCTGCTATGTCACATTTCTGCACACAAACGTCTGCACCTCTGCTCCACCTCTTTCCTGACTCACCTCTTCCTTTCTTCCCTCCCTCCTCCCTCTCTCCAGCTATGATTCTCTCCCTGGCCGCGGCGGCAGCCATGAGTAGCGGTGGCGGTAGCAGCCTCAACTCCTCCTCTCCCCTCGACCCCTTCGACTCCTCCACCTCGTGGAGCCTGGTTGAGGACCCCGCCAACTCTTCGTCAGAACCTGTAGTGCAAACTGTGACCCCTGACCTCCAGCCAGCGACCACCGCCGTCGCTCTTCAGGAAGTCAGCCCATGGGACATTGCGCTTTGCGTGACGGGGACTCTCATTTCCTGCGAGAACGCCCTGGTGATCGCTGTGCTGTTCTACACGCCGACGCTCCGCGCTCCCATGTTCATCTTGATTGGATCGCTGGCGGTGGCGGATCTCCTGGCCGGCCTGGGCCTCATCTTGAACTTTGTCTTCACCTATCTGATCGACAGCTCGGTGGAGTTCGTGACATTGCTGTCCGTTGGACTGCTGATCTCGGCCTTCTCAGCGTCTGTCTTCAACATCCTCGCCATCACGGTCGACCGGTACCTCTCGCTCTACAACGCCCTGACCTACCACACTGAACGGACGGTCACCTTCACCTACGTCATGGTGGTCTTTATCTGGGTGTCGTGCCTCACGCTCGGCCTGTTGCCGGCACTGGGCTGGAACTGTCTGAGAGACGAGAGTACGTGCAGCATCTGCCGACCGGTCACTAAAAACAACGCCGTGGCTCTCGCCGTCACTTTCTTATTGGTCTTTGCCCTCATGATGCAGCTCTACCTTCAAATCTGCAAAATCGCCTTCCGCCATGCGCAGCAGATCGCGGTGCAGCACCAGTTTTTGGCCATCTCCACCACCAAAGGTGTCTCCACACTGTCGGCCATCCTGTGTGCCTTCGGGGCATGCTGGCTGCCGTTCGCCATGTACTCCATTGTGGCTGACTCCAGCTACCCCGTAATATACACCTACGCCACGGTCCTCCCAGCCACCTGCTGCTCTGTAATCAACCCCATCATCTATGCGTTCCGAAACCCAGACATCCAGAAGTCGCTATGGATGGCCTGCTGTGGGTGCGTCCCCTCCAACCTCTCCTTAAGACCCAGGACCTCCAGTGATGTGTAGCAGGGAAGGTTGGAGTCTCCTTAGTGTGATGCTTGAGGTCGAGTCAGGGTTGGAGGGACAGGAGGTGGCTAGGAGGAAAGAGGAAAGAGAGTTCCTCTGCTTCTCATATCGGGGCAGGCTGATGGCGAACACTCAGCTGGCCGCTGTAGATGTGGCACTGGCGGCTGATGGAGAAGAGGACGATGCATAGTCAAAAAAAAACAAGAAAAAGAAAAACGATATGAAAGTTTGTAGCCTTGAGAAAACCAAAATCATGGATGGAGATGGTGTGGAAACCAACTGCAAACACCTGTTTAAGGTATCCTCATCATGGCTGTGGGAGCTGAGGCAGGCTGTGGGGGAAGTGTCAGGTGACTTTTCCACTGGCCTCTGTTAGGGCACGAAAAGTGAGTCCTGCTTCTCAAGAGTAGCATATATGTGAAGCTGAGATTTAGTAAGAAAGTTGCTAAATCTCTGCATGTCCTGAGGCTGGGCAGCACTGCATGGTTATGCAATCAGAAGGAGTGAAACAGTCTTAAAATACTTGTTTGTGTTTTAACTGATGTGTTTGAAATTAAGTGGCGTGTGGATAAAAATACAATGAGCTAAATATACACAAGGAACGACCTTGAAAATTCACAATGAGCTACTTTCTCCTGGTAAAAAAACGAGAATATTTCCTCCCTGGAAACATTTTGAGCAATGTTTCCTTCAGCTGATGCAGATTAAGTAGCTGAGTCTTGCCCATTAAGCCTTTTCCCAATGCCAGAAGCACAGCCTTTATTATTTGTTTTTCCCATTTCGATGCAAGTTTCAGGAAAGAGTGAAAAAAAGCTAATCACACAACATCCCTCCTCAAACATTCAAATCCGAAATGAAATCTAATGTACCAGTCTCTGAATGCATAAACAAGCCCGGCTAGTTTGAAGAATCTAGAGAGGGATTTCCATATTTAGACTGGCATGTGTTGTCCTTGGTTCGTTGAAATGAAATCTGCTCCGCAACGGAGAAAAATGGGTTTCTCAGCCTGCCGCTGTGCCGTGACTGCGAAGCAGAGAGAGCTGAATTCAGCACCAAGGACAGCGTCACTGCAGAGCGCTGCTACCCTGGGAATGCTCTCTGCTGCGGGGAGGGAGAGCGCCGGAAAGTAGGCTACGCTGTTCTTTACACCCTCTTTATGGGGAAATGTGAGACGGGCCTTAAAGGAGCATTTCAGCATGATTGGAGTTTCTTTCACCCTTTTGTCCACCCCTGGATGGATAAAGGTATTTAAAAATTTGTGTTTGCTAAAACTCTTCTGTTATGTGATTGCTTCAGTTTCAAAAAGACATGCAGAACAACATTAATAGTGCTAGTTAATCACTGTGGCACAAGAGAGCACAAAAGACATTTATGATTAGTATCAATAGCTAACATCTGCAAACCTTATGTCTCGGTTTGGATACTTCCATGCACTTTGCATTTACGCTATGTCCTTACTTGCATAGTGTTTAAAATTAAACGTGGTAATGTTGTTTCAAACTGACCACAGCAAGCTGTATACTTTCCAGAAATGATGACTGGACATTGATCGCAGCCTGACTGATCTATCAGTGGGATTATATAATCACCTTTTTGGTATTGTTGTTTAAAACGGCGGATAAATTAAAATTTAACAAAGATTTGATGGGAGAAACTCCAACTTCAAACTTGTTATAAGTGTTGAAGATTTGTCCACCAGAGGGCACTCTGCAAGTAACCTGTTGGCGACACGTGTTTGGAACACCACAAATACGACAATCAACTGATTCAGACAGAGACAGGCAGAGCGTAAACGGGTAAATAAATAACTACATATAACAAATGTTTAAAAAGTCTGTTTAGATTTCATGTGTCTGACAGAATTTTTTTTTTAAAATATATATCGGAATTTCAGATTTTTAAATGACCAAATATTGGCATCAGTATCACTGTCAGTGTATAACAGTGATTATCCCACTAGCTGCTGCAATCTGAGAACATTTACTACTCCCTTAGCAGCTGACCGCACATACGACAAGATTCCTCTGCAATAAAGAAACTGATTTAACTTTCATGAACAAGTAAAGCAAACCAAAGTTGGTCTCGTGAATGCTATTTAGCTGGCTAGCTAGCATTGGGAGCTAGCATCGTTGCTTGGAATGTATTTCCTTTCTGTCATATTGCTGTCTGAAATGTTTTGGCCATTTCTTCTACCATGTAGCAAAAGCAGCAATTATTTGGGGTGGAAAGTGTAAATAACACTACACCACATCAAAGCATACTAAAGATTTGCTGCTCGTTCTTTAGCTGGCCTGTCATTGTTGTATTAATGTATTGATTTTTTTCTGAGGGGTCCTGTTCTTTTATTACGCGGCAAAAATGGCGACTATTTTGAAGAAGAAGGGTAAAGAACGCCACACGACATGTACTGCAAGTGCATAATAAATGTTTGCTGCTAGCTATTTAGCTGGCAAGCCAGAATTGGCCTGACACAGTTCCTTACAATGTATCAGCTTTCTGCTGTTTAAGAAATTTCTGATGATCTATCTAACCCTAAAGCGAAGAAAATTTAGCAACTATGGGCGAAACAGCTGCAAGCAACGTAAAGTGGATGAGATCTGAGATAATCTTTTTTTAAAGCCCAGAAGGGACTACCAATGTGAACTAATAAGAACACAGGACACATATGACCTGTTAGTAAATGAGTTAGAGGGTTACCTAGGCAACCGCAGCCTGGAACACCTACAAGCTGTCAGCTTCAAAGCGATGTGCGTCAAGCGAATCGTTTACTTTTATGCTTGAAATACAAAGTATGGAAGTATCTGAGACACAGCTATGGTAAAAGCTCAGCACTGTTTAAGACCAGCATATTATAAGCCTAATTTGACCCCTGCCAGGCCAGTTTTTAATTATTTTTTAGATAAAAGCTACAATCGTTATTTTAGCCAAAGTGTCTTTTTAGCATACTCTTGTTGTTTGATGTTTCGACACATAAAAAACTATCAAAAAACTTTAAAACTGGATTAAAGATCCAGAAACATGGCTAAATTACTTCTCTGATGGAAACTCTGTCTATAATGCACAATCATGAATGTATTTAAATATCGGCCTCGATATCAATCTTAAAATATTTCCAGGAGTCAGTCAATCAAAACAATGACCCCGTCCTCTCTGTCCCCGTGTTTGCGATCAGCAGAAATTTCCGTCGTCACCGGGAAAGGTGAGAGCAGCTGATATTTTTCTGAGGCGAACAGGACCTGTGTTTTTCTGCAATCTCCATAAAGCTGTTTTGGCCATGCGGCTCTAAAGTTAGACGGCACTCTGGCTCCACAGCCCCATTGATTTTACATTAGCCGAGCTGAGCACAATCCATATCGAAAAGGTCGTTTTTCATCGGGGGCAGCTTTGGTCGGCTACGCTACGCTTTAAGTCATACTTGCGATTCTTGCACCTCTGAAAATAAATGAAGAATGGATGTGTTTTGTATTATTGCTAAATATTTGTAATGCTTACGCTTAAACACTCATAGATGTATGTCATAGATTCAGGGGAAATGGCAAAAGTCTATATATTAAGAAGGAAACAAAGCACCATATGGCGAAAAATTCTCTGGCTTCCATTTTAATTTCCCTATGTGCAGCCTGTCAGCAGTAGCTGGGTACCTTCTGCAGACATGCACACAGTCTCACCCCGCCTTGAAGAAGCAGTGCAGCTCCGCCGCGAGCCACCTCTGAAGGCTCGGCAGGTTAATGAGAAGCAAGAGAGGTGAGGTGACGTGGCGTGAAATAGAAACACCAGGCGAGACGCGCTTTAACGCAACCTCAGGTCACGTCCACCATGCACCCAATCAGGATGAAGTTATTTCCCCACTGAAAGGGCATCATGCACCGTAAATCCAGCTAATGATAATAATATCTGAGCAGTAATGGTACAGGGAGCTGGCCTAATGTACAGAGAATGCTGTGAGGATGAGTTGGAGAAGGGATTTATTGCCAACCTCAATCTGTATTTAAATGATCTGCGGAGATACTTTTCACTTTCGTGTTCCTCAGAGCAACCTCGGAGAGAGTTTCAATGACTAAGCTGCTGGCATGCTGCTCATATACATGTGTGGGAGGTGTGCTGGCTTTGGGAAAATAGTTTATGGAAACTGGGCTGTAGTTTCGAACTGCAACAGTAAGACTCAGCACAGGAAAAAAACTGTGTAACTACAGGGAGTCACTTCCAAATTCAACGCTTTCTACCAAATAAATCGCAACATTATGGCGTGAAAGCAAAAAACACACATGTACTCAATGAAACTCTGAAAATGGCGCACAGGAGAAGCAGGTATTTTCTTTTTCTATGATGTAAATTAAAGCTTAGAGTAGAAGTATTTTCTACTTTTCTTGGCAGGAAGCAACAATCAGTTGTTTTTGCAGCAGTTGTTAGCAGAACAACAGCCACATGAGTTTCTGTCAATGATTTCCTTTGGAAACGGCAGACTCTCTTGTGTCTTCTTTTGATTTCTATTTGTTTGGTTTTGGCCTTATTGGAACAACAAAAACTCCTTCGCAATAATGTCCAACTGTGTTTTGCTGTGTACAAAAAGCCACAAGCGAGAAATGGAGAGAGAAAGAGAAGCGGTCGGCTTTGGAAGATTTGCAGAATAACTCAAAGTAAATGTTTCAAGGCAACAAATGGCACATTGGGTTTTATTGGAAAGAAATATGATCCTGGCTGCCTGGTCGGGGTTTTCTAAAAAGCATGGAAAACCTAATGAGTAAATAAATGCTCAACTTCTTTTCTTAGCTCATCTACTGCAGACAGAAACCTCCAAAATAAAACGCATCTGCAGCCATTTTACTAATTTGATAATTTAATTATAAAACCACCAGTTGAACAAGTTGCCGGTGCGACCTCTTCCCTTCCTCTCTCTTTTGCTCAATCACTGCATTGATGGAACTGCCTAATGGTAAACCACCTGTATCAATTATTAAGTGAAATATTTTCAATTACTCTGAGGCTGGAAGCATGATGTGGATGAAATTTGGCACTCGGTGAACCGCAGCAGTGCGCGAGGGAGGGTGAAACATATCCACGCACAAGAGTTGAATGAATCTATTTCACACAGGAAACTGATGCGGATCCTTTTGGCACACAGTTCTCTTGTATGCACAATGATATGCGAGACTTGCCTGGTCACCTGTGTTTGGATATGCTAGATGGGACATGCAGAGCAGTCACAAATGAGGTGAGGATAATGTCACATCCGGTACGGTTTCTAACAGATGGCCAGTGTTGCCAGTGGTACAGTTTGGCCCTTTAATTGTAATAGTAAAAGAAGACCTGCACTAGCAGGGATGTGGCTTTTAAACTCATCTTCTTTCCTCTTAAAGGCTAATCAAACCTATTAGAGAATCATGAAGCAGAACTGGATTGAAGGGAAATAAATTTTGAGGCTTGTTTTAGATTCTGTAAGGCCACCTAAAAATGTCAACATTTGAAATTGTCTTGACTCCAGATATGGCATGGGAACACCAGCATTTACCATTCTAATCTGTTCAGCACTTATTTATGAGGAAGAAAACAGGAAAACATAAACAGTGTAAAGAATGTATGTAGCCACGTGACCTCACCTATTGGTTTATGAAACCCTGTTTTGAACTCTTGCCATTATAAAGAAACCTAGTAAAGGATTGGCTCATTGGCTGATGGCACATGTTGAGGATTTCAACCAATGGACATATCCTGGATGACTCTCTTTTTTAACTATATAAGAATGACCAAAATTTACAAAATGGCATTCACGTTTTATTCACTATGACCTGAAGCTAGGAACTGAGACCATAAACTCATAAGAAGAGTGTTTGCAGAGATCATAGGGAAACTGAGGCGAGGACCATTTTCCCAAAGACTCAAATACAGCTCAGCAATGACTTTCAGGAAGTGAAAATCCTATTCATATTCTCCATAGGGAATCTGACTATGAGCCATAATGTGGAAACAATCAAAAGCAGACTTAGTATAAGCTATGACATTCCTACAGTTTCCTAAATCCAAACAGCAACATATCCAAATGTGGATTTCAATGATACCATGGAAATTTTTAAATTAGCGAACGCCGCATTACTTAGTCTACGTCCACATGCACATGGATATCTTTAAAAACAGGGATTTTTTCAAGTTTGTTTCCAAAAATATCTCTGTACTCAAGTTCCATCAAGATGATGAAGGATATCCATAACCCTAACCATATGGAAATGTTGGCAAGTCAGAAGCTCACAAACAATAAAATAGAGAATAGAATAGAATAATCCTTTAATTGTCCCACAAGGGGAAATTTGGTTGTAACGGCAGCCAGAAAGACACATATACAACAAACAGTACACAGGACACAGAACAGAAACACACACAGTTTGTCTTACATATTTACATTAAGGACAATGGTTACTATAAACAGAGTCCAGAAAAGAGATAGTGGCTAAAGAGATAAAGATAAATATCTTTGATGCTCTGAAACAAAAGCTCAGTTTTTCTTGTCCACATGTAGCCGCAGAAACAAAGTTTCTGAAAGTCTTCACTCTGGCAGGAGTTCTTTAAAAAAAGTCCTGTTTTAAAGCCTCGTGTTGTAGCCATCTTGGTTTAAAAGTACTGTACTAATATCCATGAATCTAGCATCCTGTTAGCTACCTTGCTAACTAGCTTGCTAGCTATTAATAGGCTAGCTACCTTCAACTACTTCTTTGCCTTCACAAACTCCTTTTATTCTATTGAATTATATACAGTTTAAACAACAAAAAACTCATGGTGTAAACAGCCCATTAAAGATGAAGAAAACAGATGCTTAGAGAAATATTGTGACTAATTGGCATTAGCAGGTTGCCAGCTAGCGCTAGCATGTCGGCATCTCAGTAAGTTACATATTAATCACATATTTTATGAAATAAAACCACATAAATTTTACTTTTTTGTGTGACAAAAGCATAAAGATATAATCTCTCTCTCTTTTTTAAAATAACATAATTCTCAGTGTGTTTAAATATTTGGTGACCTTAAGTCTCCAATTGAAAAGCTGTGATTGAAATTTAAGGATTTCAGTTTTGCACTTTCACAGTACTATTTAGGCAGTTTTTGGGTGTCCAAAAAACTAAAGCAAAACTCACAATGTTCATTTGATCCAACTCTGCATAAAATCTTAAATATAAATATATATTTAATTGCTATATATAAATATAACAAGCCTGCTGAAATCCAAACACAGCGGCAACTAATCAGTCGCTGTGAATTCCAGATGTATTTTATAAACTGTCCCATCTGGCATGTCCATCAAGCGGTTGTTTTAACAATTAATAAGACTCATCTGTGAATATGCCACTACTCAGTCTACCATTCCTGGGACAGGAGTGGAGCGACCACTCACTGTGTGTTTGTGTATGTGTGTGTGTGTGTGTGTGTGTGGGTTTAACGCGTGTGCCCGGGATCATAGCCAATTGTAATGAACCATAGCAACTCTAACTGTAAACACAAACACGCAGAATGGTTTTTGTCAGCCGCTATACAGGACTTATAATTCAGTTTTTAAAAAGAAAAGAAATACCGTACAAGTGAGCGTGTAGAGCGCATGTGTGCGTGCGTGTGTTATTTTTCTTATGCAATGCTGTACAGAAATGTATATTTTTGTAATGTTCATCAGGGCATGAGTTACAAGACATGGTCGCTGCTGTGAGTCTGTTGTGAGCGTGTGTTTCTTCCTATTCTTCTGTGTTCTTCCTATAAACAAACGTCAAAAGTTTCTTTGGGGGGGAAAGTTGTGTGTCGGATATGCTTAAAAAAAGTGCCATAATTTTTGACTTTCTAGTGTCTTATTTTTTGGTTTGTATATATCTTAAGTTAATCGGAGGGCAAAGACGCAAAGTCATTAGAACCAGTAAATCTTTCTGACCTATATATACTTATTTTTTGCTCTAACTGCAGATAAACACAAGCCTCGATACAGATTGCAGTAAAGTGAAGGGTTTTATCTGTTAAAAAAGAAAGGGGGGGGGGACAATCGCACTGATCGACAGGGAGACGGAGAGTTCGTGAGCAGCAGTTTTACGTCACAGAGTCAGGGCTCCGGTGACGTCATATTGTCTGAGTCGTGTCTAAGGGAGCAGGTCGTTTCAAAGACACCCCCTCCTCTGTTTGAAAAAACTTCACTTTTTCCTCCTCCCCATCGCTTTCACTCACCTGCCACTCCCCCCCCCCCCCCCCCTTTAGAAAACACCCTTTTCCCCTCATTTCTTTCTATCAATCTTTTTTACTCCCCCTCCTCTTCTTTCCATTCAGCCCGTCTTTGCCATCCTCAACTCCTTCCTCCCACCTCCCTCTGTCTCTTTCTCTTGTCTAACATTTTGCTATCCGTGGCCTGCAGGAAGCTAGTCGGTCAGGCGCCGTCTAAAAATAGTCCCCACCGAAAGCAGATTAAAAAGAAAAAGAGGAGTAGAAAAGAAAAAGGAGGGGTGGGAGTAAATAAGTCGAAATGAACCAGGGGGCAGAGGCAAACCTTCACCTTGCTGCGGTAGGCAGAAAAACATTGCCGGTCTTTGTTTTCTTCGTTCTCGTGTGTCTATTTTTATATACAGTCTCCTTATCCATCCTTTAAAGCCTCTTTTATTTTCTTGTGAGCACAAGCATTTACATGAAGGTTCTGTTTATTTGTGTTTTTTTGAAAAAAAGCAGGGTTTGGGGCGAGTGCCTACAGCAAATAAGCAGGACCAGCTCAACTGTCAGTCAGGCTTATAATGTGTCTCCTCTGTAACCTACAACCTGGCAGAGATTGTCAATTGATTTCAAAAAAACCATTATAGAGCTAATTTTCTATCGGACCGAGTATGGCCTTCACGGACAGAAAAAGGCGTAGTTTTACGCATCGATGCTGTCGGTCCCGATGAGAAGCAGCACCGAGCGTGTTATTGGGTAACAATACTGTGATGTCAGAGAGCTAATATGATGTTCTTGAATCATTCTTCCTGGATTTCTATGATTTCTTACTGTGTTTCCTTTGATTTTTGCTCCTCTCGGGTTTGTGCGGCAACACGGTCGGCTCATGATTAAAAAGTACAAATGCACTTTATAAGATGGACATGTTACACATTGCACTTGTAAATGTCGAATGTAAAACCTTGAAGAGAAAGATTTATTTTTACTATTGTAAATAAATGAAAAGAGAAACAATGAAAAAAAAAAAGACTGCAAAAATTGAAAGAAGAAAAAGTGGAGAATAATTTGCCAAATAAAATAAAAAGAATAAAAAAGGGGAAAAAAAAATTCTGGAGTGGAGTAACGTCATTGCTTTGTAGGTTGTGTGACATTATCGGTGTGTGGGTGTCATTTTCGAGTGTGTGTGGGGATTATGAGTGCGTATGAGTCAACATTGCAGGTCACTGTAGTGTAGAAGGAAAGCCTGGGAATAAAAAAGAAAAGATGGTGCTGAATTATTAAACCACTCCCTGCTTGCATAACAGCAGAGAAGGCGAGATATCCCGGCAGGGAGAAGAGGGATCGGGAAAGAAGAAGGGACAGATTCCAATAAAAGATGCAACACGCACACAAAAAACACGTTTGATATTCCCGGAGAAGAAAACAGGAAGCCCAGAGGGACAGGATGCTGGGAAAGGTGTGAGAAAGTGTATATGTATTTGTGTGGCAACCTAAAAACTAAAAGAAACACACACATTTGTGTGATCTACACGTCTTTAGGTTGGTGTATTCCCTGGAGACAACGATAGCCATAGCGAGGGTGCTGCTGAAGGGTGGGGTCTTGATAAATAATTAACGGCGCTGCAGAATTGGTGACGCAGGTGAGCGTGTTTATCGTTTAACCTTTAATTAAGTTCTTGATAAACACGTTCACCTGCTAGCGTGTGGGTGACAGCGTGAGACTTTAAAAGGTGATGTTCAAACTCCTTGACTCACCTCTATGCGGTCTCCACATGGAGGCGAAGAGCTCCGCCGTGTGGCCAGAGGTGAGTACTGCGCAGTCAGGAGACTAAGGGAAAAGACGCAGCATCCACCCACACACACACACACACACACACACACACGATGGGCTTCTTTTACGTCATTACAGCAGCTCTCTTGCAACAAGCACGAAGCAAAGCCCTTCTCCCCTTTTCCTTATCCTTACTGTCTCCTTCTCACTCTGTATGCACCCTTACACCCTCAGTGAGTCACAGCACTCTCTCCACCATCTGCTGCAGGATGCTGCAAATCACCTCGATGTATGTGCATGTGTTCGAGGGAGAAACGAACGCACAGAAGGTGGTGATGTTTCCGCATCTGTCGTGTCTGACTCGACACGCACACACATCCTGAGCCTGATATGAAACTGATTAACATTCGAATGGAGCCTGTGACGATGACTTACTCCATGTGGCGAGGAGATGATTCACGAGTGGACTTAATGTAAAACTGAAAGTTATTAAGTCACTGATCTGGCATATTTTAAAGTTTTCCAGGAACTGATGATTTTTTTGGTAAATGGAGCATCTAATACACATGACCCTGAAAAATGTGACATGATTTAATTCTCGCTGTTTGGCGCCACTGAGACATACAAAAACAGTCCCCTTCAGATGCATGGACAAGGGATTTGGTAAGTGTGAGAAGCCTTAATGCTACAAAAGCACAGCTATATACAACAGAGAACCTGTTATGTTTTCCTGTTTATTGTCATATTTATTCTGCTACATGCACATATTAAACATGACCAAAGTTTCAAATGATGAAATCAGCGTACAGTTATGGTCAGAAGTTTACATCCACCCTTCATGGGCATGAATGTCAGGGTAATTTTGGGCTTTTAATCATATCTTTGAACTGTTTGTTTTCCAGGGTGGGATGATTGGCCAGCACACATAGGCTTTAGAAAACAAGAATTAGGTGCACAAGTCTGAATTTATTTTTCTGAATTTCTCTAATCCACACATGGTCAAAAGCATACCATATACCAGTATTATTGACAGCAAAACAGCCCAGAGCATGATGGTACCACCACCATGCTTGACAGTTGGTATCCGGTCGTTAAGTGATGACGCGACGAATCCTACTTCCGGGCCTAAAGTAGTCTGCGTTTAATATGGCTTTTGTGTTGTTAACATGTTTAATGTTTTGTATTTTCTTCTATTTAATCTCAAAAAGCTCCTAAAACAGTCAGTGATCACTGTTGACCTCCCTCAGCTTTTATTACCGCTAATCATTTATTTAAGCTCAGTTTTTAAAACCTTAGGATGTAGCTACAGCCCAGCCCATGCAGCAGTATATGAATGACTAACTTCGTATTGTGGATGGATTATCTCAGTTGTTCTCCTGGC